AAACAATCACTCATCTTTCCTAAAAACTATTTACACAAAACAAAAGCAAGCAAGTCGATTAGTTTTGGGCATGGATAGATACGAAAGTGCCGAGCCGCTACTCAAGGAAATAAATGCCCTAAATGTATACAAATTAAACATCTACCATAACTTGTTATTTATGTTTAAACTTCAAAACGAATTAATTCCAAAATATTTTTATAAAAACTTCTCTCTTATTAATCATAAATATAAAACAAGACACTCAATAATTAGTTACTACATCCCACTAACATTACTCAAAAAGTCTGATTTCTCAATTACATGTCGGGGACCACGCTTGTGGAACTCGGTTCTTGACGAAAATATGAAAAAAAAATAAAATCTATTGATATATTTAAAAGAGCTATATATATATATATATATATATATATATATATATATATATATATATATATATATATATATATATATATATATATATATATATATATATATATATATATATATATATATATATATATATATATATATATATATATGTATATGTATATGTATGTGTGTATGTGTATATGTGTATGTGTATGTATATATATATATACATATATCCTTCTTATATATATTCTTCTCTTTTCTTTTTGTTTTTCTGTTTTAATTTTATTTAAAAAGAAAAATATGAGTAGATGAACTTAAACCTATAAAATCTTTTTTAATTCAAAATATCTTTTGTATATTTAAATATATATTATGAAGTTTATTGGATATGTATACGTGTATGTATACAGATACAGTTGTGTTGTCAGCAGTTGAAACTACTTGAGATATAAGAATGTCAGGAAGATCATTAGTTTAGTTAAGAAAAAATGGGTACTGGGTAATCTGTATTGTATTAGACTTTTTACAAACATGTCCGTAGTTTAAATGATATTTATGCACACGTTTTTTAATCTCTTCTTATTTTAAATTTATCTTGTCCGTTTTTCAATAAAAATAAACAAAAACAAATGTAAATTTAAAAACTAGAATAAAATTACATTCTAAAACATTTTCCTATTTTGACAAATGGCTGTTGACGATCGTTTTCAGCCTATCTACTTTTTGAGAAGTCTTCTAGCTTTTCCTATCGTGTTTGGCTCATGCGTTTTATCATTATTCAGCTCCTTTAAGTCTACCTTGTCTATCCTCTACATTATTCAGCTCCTTTAAGTCTACCTTGAAGTTTAAACCGCATATTTCACAAATACAAATATACAAACAATTTTGGCATCTAAAAACTTAAAAAACTGATTTTGATAATTATACCTTGTAATTACTAGGTTGAGTTATAAATAACTTCTTTATTTTTTTTCATACATTTATTTTTTGGTGACATAAAAAAAAAAAATCAAAACTAATCTAAAATATATTTTTCATCATTTAATATAAGTTGCTAATATCCCGTTTTTGGCATGCAATCCCTTTATCATAAATTTTTGCCGGTAAAGACTGATAATTTTTTTTGAAACTTTTCGCCGATTGAAACTTTGCTCGAGTAAGACGTTTTTCCTTTGAAATAAAAAAAAATGGAAACTAAATGATAATACTGAAAAAATCATAGAAAATAAGCTAGAAGAATAGAGAAAAAGCATTATTAAAGAAACAGAAAAGCTTTTGAAAAAACAGGAGAAAACCTTCACTAATATAATAAATGTAAAACTCAAAATTTTATCAGATAAACAAGATGGATCAAGAAATTTATGATAACAAATCAAAAAATTTCATTTATTTAAAAGCACTTAAACGACGTTAAATTCAGCTTGAGTTTTTACGAACAAAAAACCATGTAAAATATAAAACAGGTAAAATGATTATTACGACAACGAAATAAATCTATTGTATACAATAACAACTAAATTAGAAAATCGTTTTCGTAGGAATAATATAAGAATATATGGAGTAATAGAAAAGCCTGGAGAAACTTGGAGTCAATGTGAAAATGCTGTTAAAGAAATCATTAAAAATCATTTTAAAAAGGTGAAGTAGTGATCCACTCGGTCCAATGAAAGACAACAAACCAAGAACAATTCGTCGTTAAGTCCATTTTTGCTGTTCTGAGAAAAAGGTATTTAAAGTTTTTAATTTATCACTGCGTTTGTTTTTAAAATATTTAGAGAAAATGTTATTATTTTTCAAAATATAACAAATAAAAATTAAAAAATTAAGTTTGTGAGAATCAACAACGCCAATGGACATAAGATAATCTTAAAACTATATAAAATATGACAAAATTCTACAAATTAAATTGCCGCTGCAAAACAAAATTATTTCTCAAAACAGCCAAAACAAGTCCATTTTGACTGTTCTGAGAAAAAAACATTTAAAGTATTAAACTTAATCACTGCATTTAATTTTTCTGATTAAACCTACTTGTTTTCAGTTTTCATATATTATATGTATTAAGTATTTTAAACCAAAAATTTTTTCTGCAAAAAAATGGACTTAAAATACTTTAGTTTTGCAGCGACGATGTCTCTTAATTATTTCTTTAGGACATAAGATACTTGAATTTTATCCATAGTTGCAAAAGTTGAATCAATTTTGGTTCCATACTTTGTGAGATGACTTTTGTGCACCTAAGGAGTATTTTAAACTAAAAAAAAAAAGTCAATTTTGCCAAAAATAGACTTAAGTTTTGTTTTGCAGCGGCGAATTGTCCTGAATCTCTTGAAATTTCAAGATAAAAACAAAATTCTAAATGCTGCTAAGAGTCTCAAAGGATCTGGTATATATATAAAGGAAGACTTTGCTCAAGGAACAATTGAACAACAAAATAAATTATGGAAAGAAGTTAAAAGACTTTAAAGAAAACAAAACAATAATTACAACAAAAAGGCAAATAAATGAAAAAAGTATAACAAAGTTCCGAAGCAACTTATCAATGGAAAACTGGGATCAGGTTGTTAATTGCAAAGACACCAACATAGCTTACGATATTTTTAAACACACTTTTACAACTTTGTACGAAAAAGCGTTTCCCAAGCTTGAGCAATTAACAAAACTCAAAAACCTTAAAAGTCCTTGGATGACAAAAGGGCTTATTAAATCTTCAAAAAAAAAAAAAAACTTTATGAAAAATTTTTAAAAAAAAAGACTTTTAAAAACGAAAAAATATATAAACATTACAAAAATTTATTTGAAAAATTAAAAAAACACTCAAAAAAAAACTATTACTGCAATTTATTAGAAAATTATTGCGGTAACACTAAAAAAACATGGGGCGTAATAAAAGAGGTAACAGGAAAAAAAAAAGATGCTACCAAAGTGTTCCCGCAATACTTAAAAACAGATGAAAATGATACAGTAGCCAATAAGGCAATAGATATTGCAGAGAAATTTAATAACTATTTTATAAAAATTGGGGAAAAACTAGCTAATAAAATAACTCGTGGATAAAAATGCTATAAGCTGTATCTAGAAAAAAAAGCCTCAGTCATGAACGAGCATGAAATAACTCTGGATGAGCTTAAAAATGCATTTAATACCTTACAAGAAAACAAAAGTCCAGGACTAGATGACATTAGCGTGAACGTTGTAAAAAATGTCTACGATATTATTGAATATCCCCTTCTGCATATCTGTAATCTGTCTTTAAAAAATGGGGTGTTCCCTGACCAGCTAAAGCTAGCAAAAGTTGTTCCTATATTTAAAAGCGGAGACGATTCGATTGCTTCTAACTACAGGCCTATTTCTATTTTGCCATGCATTTCAAAAATATTAGAGCGCATAATGCACAATAGGCTAAACAATTATCTAGTAAACCACCACCTACTAAATAATAACCAATATGGCTTTCAAAAACACCATTCAACAGAACACGCTGTAGCCAAACTTGTCAATGAAATTTTAAATGGGTTTGACAACAATAAATACACTCTTGGGGTATTCCTCGATCTCTCAAAAGCGTTTGACACTGTTGACCACAAAACTCTTCTTTATAAACTATATAATTATGGAATAAGAAATAACAATTTAAAATGGTTTCGCTCTTACCTTAATAATCGGAAACAAGCTTTATCATATAACAACACTGTAATACGACTTGAAGACATTACTTGTGGGGTTCCACAAGGATCAATTCTTGGTCCATTTTTATTCCTCGTTTATATTAACGATATCTACTTATCTTCTAACATACTTAACTTTGTCCTTTTTGCCGATGATACGCAAGTGTTCTTTAGCCACACAAACATTAGCCTGTTATTTAACACTGTTAATCAAGAACTTGAAAACCTGAACGAATGGTTTAAGGCTAACAAACTCTCCTTAAATGTCGAAAAAAGTAAATATATTCTTTTTACAAAATTATCAAAATCTGAAACCCTCCCCTTAAAACTACCTGATTTACTAATTGATAAAACTAAACTTAAACGAGAATACTCAATCAAATTTTTAGGCGTAATTCTTAATGAACATCTTAGCTGGAGTAACCATATCAAAGTAATAGAAAATAAGATATCAAAAATTATTGGTATTATGTATAAAACAAAACATCTCCTAAACACAAATTGTTTAAAAAATATTTATTTTGCATTTATTCATAGCTACATCAGCTACTGCAACATTATCTGGGCAAGTACCCAGCGGGCATTTTGACGTCCTAAGGACGTCCGTAAGACGTCTTAGGTCTCGTCGGTAAGACATCCTTAGTTAGTCTCAAATGAAAGGCTTGAGGACGTCTATTCCAGACGTCCTTAAGACGTCTTTTCAAGACGTCCTAGAGACGTTTTTTGCACACGTTTTAGAGACGTCTCTGGTTTGTCTCATATGAAAGACTTAAGGACGTCTTTTTCAGACGTCCTAGAGACGTTTGAGTTTTACCAAGACATTCTTTTAAAAGTTATATAAAAATGCAATGATTTACAACACACACCTTAGATTTGCCTTAATCTAGGCGAGGGAAGTTATAAAAAGAAATCAATGTAAATTAAGTTTAATTTGATATATTTAAAATAAATTAATAACTTTACAAAAAATAAGAATAA